TTAGGTGCCTGATGATAATCCATTGGATTCGTCTATATTGTTTGCATGTTTTAAAATTTCAAATTTTCTTGGTGCTTTTTTATAATTCGAACCTTTGAGGATGTCTCTATAAATTTTAAAACACTAAGGATATTAGCTGCAAATTTTAAATTCTTTGGGGGCTGATTTCATATTTGTTGTTTTAAGTTTTAAAAAGTCAGGGTATCTTGGTTAAACTTTTGAGGGAATTTGTGCACTTTTTGAAACTTTTGAGTTTTTACAATACTTTATATATTATAGTATGTTAGCTATCTATAATTTCTTTATCTTAACAAACTAATATAGTGGAGCTGTTTCATGTATTTTATTAATCATATTTTTTAAATTGTTGAGCTATAGATAGTGCACATGGGATTTATATAGGATGACTAAGATTTGGATAAGTTAAAATTTAAATGAAATATTCAATAATAATAACGAATAATATTGACCATGAAAAGCTTTTCTCAAACTTGTGCTTTTAAAAAGAGTATGATAGACTCAACTAATTTAGATTATGCAACAAGTCTAACAGTAGAGATAACTACCTCAAATAAAGAAAAAGAAGAAAATTATTTGAAAAGAGTCATCAAATTTCATGATCATCTCATCTAGTGTTAAGACTCTCAACATCATCACCGAGTGCGTAAGTTGACTATGGATAATATTCAGAGGTATCAGGTTCGACTCTCCTAGAAGTCTTAGGAAATTAATCGCCTAGATCATCCAAGAACGTGCGTTGGGAGTACCCTTCAAAGCCGCCAAGAGTTTTCATACCCATAGTCAGAAGGATCATATGGAAGTTCCCCCCGTTAAAACTAAAAGAATAAAAAAACTCAACATCATCTTCTTAAATACAGACCAGATATTTGGAACACTGTAACTTGAAAAACTTAGCTAGGTAGGGGTGTTAAACGGGTGGGTTTGGGTATTAAATGGGCGGGTCATAAATGGGCGGGCATATTTTGCCCATTTACCCATTTATGGCCCATTTAAGATTTTCTAAATGGGCGGGTTTTTGCCCGCCCATTTAATAAACGGGCCGCTCATTTGCCCATTTAACTATAATAAAAAATGTATAGTGCCAATAGTTCTTGTAGCAACGTCAAAAGATTTTCTTTTTAGGGGTATAAATAATATTTACTACACCTATCTTAGTGGAGAAAGAAAAGTTTCAATCCATCATGAAAATTATAATATAGGTCATTCATCCATAACTTCCTCATATTCCTAAACGCCTCTATTAATTACCTATTAAATTTCTATTAACTCACACTTAGGTGGGTTAAACGAGTGAGTTTGGGTATTAAATGTGCGGGTCATAAATAGGCGGGCATATTTTGCCCATTTATCTCTTTATGACCCATTTAAGATTTTCTAAATGAGCGGGTTTTTGCCTGCCCATTTAATAAACGGGTCGCCCATTTGCCCTATATATATATATATATATATATATATAATACTTTTGGGGTGTTTCTGTAAACTTTTAGGGGTTTTTTGTAAACTATAATAGCTATATACAGCTTCCACAAAGTCACCTTGCAAAAGAAAAAGATAATCATTCATCATGATCATGATCAAGTTCCCTCGTATGCAATCAATTATACATGAAATTGGAGGTAACTAAAAAGAGTATACACATCATGACCAAGAACTGCAAAAAGTAATGCACATCCAGACTACCATAACCAGATTGAAAACAAACATTTTATAAGACCAACACTGAAAAAGTTAAACCAACATAGACGTAATATTCAAGTCCAAAAAAAAAACAACTTCCTTCACGGTCAAGCACTCCATTCTCTTCTCGAAAGTCTATTACGACGCTTCATCAAGAATGAAGCTCCATCTATTAGAGAGTCGGCTTCTCCAAGTCGAAAAGGTATCATACAGAGATGGAAACCTAAAGCAAAACAGGAGAAAAAACACCACAATTCCACATATTTTCATCACATTTATAAATCCATCTTTTATGGTCGGATCGTTTTGCATGGTCCAGGGTGGAGGAGGCGGCGACTTCAGCGGCGACTTTAGGCGGCATCGGAGGCTCTAGGTTCGAGAGGCGATTGATGTGGCGGAGGAGGAGGGATTGGGGTCAGAGGCTCGGGTTCGAGAGGCAGTTGAGGCGGAGGAGGATCGATTGGCGTCGTAGGTTTTGGGTTCGAAAAGCACTTGAGGCGACGACGGAGGAGGAGAAGGCGGAAGAGATTGGGATCGGGATTGAGGCGGAGGAGATCGGGATTGAGGCGGAGGAGAAAGAGGAGATTGGGAATTTGGGATCGGGTTTTGTTTGTTTTGATTTTGGGAATACAGGTGAGTGGGCAAACGTGCGAATAAACACTGCCCATTTAGTGCTCATTTAGAATAATGTAAAATGAACCCGCCCAATTGGCCCATTTAATTAAATGGGTGAGCGTTGGACGGGCCAAATGATAGGTGGGCCAGGTGAGTAAATGAGTATGGGCCAAAATTGACATCCCTAAACTCATTTTCCTTTCATAATTCCAGTGGTAGAAAAAAGATACAGACGAAAGGATACAAAGATTTCAACTGGGGCATGTTAACAGCTTAACAATCTATACAAATACAGATCTAAAAAAAATAAAGCCGACAAAAACAAAAGAATAATTTTTGTTACACATAACACAAACAAAACCAAAAAAAAAAAAAAAAAAAAAATTGAAGCGTCACAATTGGGTTAGGATCAAATAATGGGCTCATAATAATCTTAACTTAGTTCTCCACATGGATCCAACAACCTTTCTTGGAGCCGGATCATCTGGTCCTCTATCTCTCTGGCCAGATGTAAAATACAACCATCCATCATAGAAGCCATAATAATACACCACGATTAAGGAAAATAAAATAAAATACGATCAATATAACCGGTATAGCATTAATTTTTAAGTAAAACTGTATTTAAGCCCCTTTTTCTAACGTATTTAAGACAGAAAAAACGTTGCATAATCTCGTAAGCTTAATTATCTTGGTATTTTTTGCCCCCCATTCCAATATGGAAAAGAGCAGTTGCAGCATGGATATCAACTTTATTGAACAAACAATCAATTTGTTTAATTATAATATAATATCTCACGTGCAAAATGTCGAGTTATTTTTACAGTCATTCCCCAAGTAAAAGTTCTCATGTAAAGAATAAGTTTGCAACTTCAATCACATTTTACTTTCTGTCATTATGACCGTAGACTGCATCAAGCTACAAACTTGATATGGATAAAGTACACTTTCCAGGGGTAATATCTTTATGACATTTTTATAGATCGATCTGTTAGCAAATCAAATCATATAAACTACAGTTGTTCTGCAATCGCAAATGCTCAATGATACCCTAGGAGGTTAAAATCCTAGAAGGCAGTCTATTTCTTGTTCTTTCTTAAAAATTTCAAATCTGGCGCATAATTTATGACAAAACCTATAAACAAAAAATCCAAAGATAAAGTAGAACAAATAAGAAATTCCCATACCAAGGTATCTAAGTTGAATCGGAATACTTCTCCAACGAGTATCATCTTTTTGGTCACAGGGTGTTTCTCCGTTGTGCCTCCAACAATGATAATGGAATTGTTGACAATAGCCCATGCAAATTCTATGTGAGAATCTGGCTTAGGCATCGGAGGCAGTTGCTTCCACTTTTTCCCATCATCTAGCATGTAAACATCTCCATATACAACCTGGATTAATATATAGATGTAAGTCAAGAAAAACCAAAATGTATAGTTTGATAAGCAGGTAAGTCATTGTCAATTTAACATACCAGAAGGGTTTCTCTCCACCAGAATATGTACAATAGCAGAAAAAGAAAACAAGATACCTTGTTTTATTTTTTAGGTAAAATAACTTAGGGCCAATCTACTTGCTCAAGCAGCAATCCCATAAGCAGACTATGGGGCTGAGAACAAGGTTAAATCAAAGTTCCTAAACTGTGATTATTTTCTAAAGTTTAATGGAAAGACAGGATATTCATATGGGCTAGAGTTTGGCATATTTATGAGCAACAGAAGGCAACTTATTAAAGAAGAATTCACACCTAATTAAACAAGAACAATTTTCGCAGAGGATAGGGTATAATAGTTTATTCAATCTGACTAAAAAACTTCTAATAAAGGCATAAATTGTAGTGACAAGTTCTGGTTGCAATCGCATGCACCGAGGAAGAAGCCTTGCCAAAGAGCAGTCCTGACCCAACTTGGACAGAGGGTGATTTAATATGGTTCTCCTGAGAAATTAAGACTGCTAATGCCCCAACCAGACAGCTCTCAGATGCATTAGTAATATTGACACCACAAAACATGGTTTCCATAAGATGTGACGCTTTCAATTTCTTATCAAGTCCTATGACCCTGGCCGCACTTCTCATGATCAATCTTAATTTCCAGCAAATCCATGTGCCACTAACTAATATTTAAATTCTAAAAAGTAATATTCATGGAGAGGTCTTATATCATTTGGTTTGAGGTTAACTACCACAATGAAAGAAACTTCCACTTATGTAACTCTGAATTGCAGTTCCCACAAAAAACATCCTACAAGATGTAAGATATGATAACTTGGTCATAAGTTGTCAAGGATACAAGAAACATAATGAAGTTACAGAAGTTGTTTGCTCATTTTGTTGGGTCTAAGATTTAGAGTGTACTTTTCTTTCTACTATAATATATTTATTGCTATAATATATCTATTGCCGATATTTCAGAAGTCAAGATTCAGTGTTCAAATTCTTTATTTTCATTCATAGAATAAAGATAATGTTTTTATCCATTTTAGATCGAATTTGCAGTATGAACAAGTGGTGAGAGGTGGAACTGCAAATCCTTTATTCCCAGTTCAAATCCTAGGAATTTCATGTGTTTGTATCTTTGCAGATATTATTGCAACAATATCAAGTCGTTAGGCTCAAGTTGAGGCTACCAAACAACATCGGTTCAAGTTGTATTAGAGTACCATATTGGATAAAGAATTATCCCAGTCTGAGATATCACTTCCTAGTTATTCTGAGTCTCTGACCCATTCACAAAAATGTGTGTACTTTATAAATGCACTATTTATGTTATGATGAAAAAGTGCCCAAATAACATGAGATAAGCAATCATAAAGTCCGCATGGTAATTTCCCTTCGTTTATTTGAATAAGAAGGCACCCTTCCCAGGAATTGGACCCTGTGTTGCCTTGTTCTTCTAACACACTCTTAGTCAATGTACCCAGCTCCTTTTAATATATTACATCCAACATTTGGACATAACTCAAAAAGAATAACAGGTTTTAAGCTATATGCTGACGTTGAAAGTAGTAAATTAAGTTATTGTCAATTGGGTTGCTTGTTGAGTACTGCACGATAGCTGCAGTAAAACATTAATTTGTTATGTTCCTTATGGAGCATGACAGAATAAACATGAAACAAAAGAAGCAAAAAGTAAAAAAAAAGGTGGAATAACTTACGTGAACAGACACCAGAATTATAAATTGTCACGAAGCATGGAAAACAACGGAACATTAAAAGGAAACTAATTGAGAAATGAGATTGAATCATTTGGAGATCTAGATATAAAGAAGTCCATGTACATACCTCATGCCTTCGAGAACATTTAAAAATAGGTGATCCAGGTTTGGCCATAAAATCACCCTCTTGGCCTCCAATAACAAGAAGTTGATCATTAACAACAACGCAAGCCCTGATAGTAAAAACATATTTCAATAGCGGAGACATGAACTTAAAGAGTTTGCAAGAAAAGAAATGAGAAACAGCCCTTCATCCTTCCCAGGTAATTAGGAATTACCAAAAGTTATTTAATCAAGACATATCTGAGATAAAACATAGTACTCTTAAAAATAAAATGCATAGCAAGTGCAAACAGATTGTAAGCATTGTCGATATTAATAGCTATACAAAACACATACTCACACAAAAGGTTTCTTTAGGAAATTATTTAACATGACTTCGTTTTATCAAAGATAACATGAATTATAATACTATTTCTTTTTTTAAATTTACAATTTTTTATTTGGTTAGATAGAATCTCTAAAGAATATTTAAGCATAGCACTAGACAGTGTTATTTGGAATGGAACTTCTAAACCTCTTGTGCTATATCTTTTCACATTACTAGAAATCTTCAAACTCGAAGCCGTAATTTGTCAAATAATAATAATAATAATAATAACACAAAACAACATTCCAAAATTTTACTTTGCCTAATTGCAGAAAAAGAGACTATTGTATCCCATCTCTTCACTCACTTACCAAAATGACAAAACCTTAATTTTAGTGCTAGAAAACTACCATAACCTCACCTTGCTCTCCTAACTAAAAGTTCATAACCTGCAGATGATAGCTCCAATTTCCCTCTGGAAAATCCTGACCAGAATGTATTTATGCTTTCAATTGACCACGTGCTTTTCTATAACATGGTCTACCACAGTATTATGTGGCGAGGGTTCAGTGATGCATAGTGTGCTCATGGAAATAAAAGCATCATGGTACTCTATACTCTGCCAGAGATGATAAATATTAGGCCAGGATATTTAGTTGGGCAAGACAGGATTTTGGTTCATATGGAATCTACTGGCGCACATTGTAGAAATGTTAATGAATTAGACTGATACCCTCGTGAATACTTCAAAGTAACTACAATTATTAAAGAACAAGCAATTAGAGCAAGTAATTTGGCTTAAAATCTCACAAATATTAATTCCTTCGGTCATTGCACCTACTTTTACATCTTCAAAGTGTATTTAGAAGAGATTAATATGTCACAGGATTAAGTTTTCATTGGCTTGTGAAGTTGTTTTAAGTAACCTGTATTGGGAGAAGCTAATTGATGTATCCATATTTTCTTCTTAATTGCTATACTTGTAGAAGCTTATGTTTATAGTTCTCGTAGTAGTTACTATAAGCTGTATTATCTTGGTTTAAAACATTAGCTTTTTAATTATCAAATAAAAGTTCAATCCGCCAAATAAGGCTGTAGTTGGCAGATGCCCGGAGGTTCCACCTGCTGCAACCATAAATAATATGGTGCGCAAAGCCAAATCAAGTATCCCATGAAGTGCAATGCTAGTAACCCATGAAACGTAACTTAAATGATCCATGAAATATAACTCAAGAGAGATGCATAAAATTCCTCACTAACCTGTGGGGTCCACCACGGGGTATTGGCACTTCTTTTCCCCATTCTTTCTCCAATGCTTTTCCGTCCTTTACTGCAAGACTCCAATGCTCCAATCCAGGCTCATGCCTGTCCTCCTTGCTACCACCCATAACATGAAGTCTGCCTCTCCAAAGTTGTGTGGCTGGTGCATACCTGAAAATCATGCTCGTTAGCACTTATTGGATATCCATTGAAAGAAAACCTTCTGATGCTTCCTACAATGAAAGGACTGGCCATATAAAATCGTTTTTAACCTGGAAATATTATTTGTAGTGACAGATCACGAAATTGCTAGAGAATGTTAAGGCAACAAAGCATACCAACAAAATTTTTGATAAGTTTGGAGAAGGAAAAACCTTAACCTAGATATGTATGGGGAACTTGAAATTACTTAAAATACAGTTTTATCCGAAAGAGGAACAGTGCCGGATTACCATGTTAAAGCCCACAGAGATTGTGAAGGTAGTCAATTGTGATACAATTGGAGTTCAATAAGACATGTTGATTTTCAGTATGCACTTACCTAGGGACAGGTAGTGGAGGCAAATCATGCCACTCTTTCGTCTTTGTATCCAGCACAAAGTTGCGAGCTGTAGGTCCTCTGCACTGTGGGCCATATTGACCAGAGATAGTATATATATACCTTCCATCTGTTGCCATGCCTAGATGTGAATTTGCCATTTCTTTCGGCATAGAAAATCTGCCACCCCAAGTATTATCCGTAAAATTATAAATGTCCACATGAGAATGCACCTAAAGTGAGCAACAGAAGAAACAGAAGGAAATCCTAATGAGAACACAAAAGATTATGACGATTATACTCTATAAATGAAAACAAAATTAAAAAGGGTAAATTTCACACAACCCCCCTTAAGTTTGGGCAGTTCAAAGATAACCATAACTTTCAAAATATCACAAAACCACCTCAAGCAAAAAAGAAAAAAAAAAGAAAAAAAACTATTGGTGTTACTTCTAATGTTCATATTAATTTGAGGGGGTTTTTGTGAAGCCCCCTTAAGTGTGGCCATTTCGTTAACTTTCAAAATGTCTCAAAACTCCATTTAAGTTTTGCCAGCAAATCCTCCAAATTAATGCTGTTAGGAGGATTTTCTAATAAAATGTTTAACGTAGAAGGGGGTTTTCTGAGAACCCCAAAACTTAAGGGGGTTTTGTGACATTTTTTGAAAGTTAAGGGGGTTTTTCTGAGAAATGCCAAGACTTAAGGGGGGGTTTGTGAGATTTACCCAAAAAGAAAAATTCACTGAAGAAGTGCCGATCCTTTTTTAAGAAATAGCAAAAAGGCTTGAGGCACAGGTTTCAAATTGTTTTTTACAAATAGCTTGAAGTGATTCAATAGTATAATTTAGTCTAGTTTTTCATAGTATATGAACACGAATTAGAATTCAAGATGGAAGGATAAGAGAAAAGAACCTAATGATTGTTTAAGCATAAACAGTGCATATTAGTTGGTTTTGCGAGCATACATGAATGTTATTATGAGCTTTATGCTGGTTGCTCATTGAGGGAAATTCCCCTTCTGATGGATGATAACTACATTTTTTTTAAAGCTGGGGAATATTTAAAAACTATTCAGTAATAGGAGTCCCTATCAGCTTTCATCAGCACCTCAAGTACATTTTGTTAGCCTATCTCTAACCTCACAACTTGTGTCTGTCCACTACCAGAGCTCAGGGGTAAGACAACATGCATTAGCTTTGAATCACACCACTGCTAGAAAAAAATGGTTACTCACTGCTGACGAGGAAAGAAAACATTCATCTAAATGTGATGAAGTTAAAAGCAAGTTCAAAATTCCAAAAATCCTTACATAGTCGATGGTGCCATATCCAGCAAACACATAGAGAAGATTCTCGTGCTGTATCGCGGCTCCATCCAGGCGAGGCACAGGCGCCGCCGCCATCTCCTCCCATTCTAGCGGAGGAGCTGGTATATCAGCAAAAGTAGCGTTGAGGCCTTGTGAACCCGACGCTCCGGTCAAATTAACTCTCTCTTTGGGCTGCAAAACAAAAAGGGCGAAAAGGAAATCACCGGCCAACCCATTAACCGAGACAAGCAGTCAAGGCTGTCTGTTGTCGATTCGACGTCGACAAGGTGCAGTCTTTTCTGCGATTACCTTGCTGGACTTGGGCGCGGGGGTCGGAGCTCGGTCTCCGATGGCCCTGCTGATGGAGAGATCCAGAGCCTTGGAGAGCGAGCTCGACGGCGACGAAGCCCACAGGAAATCGGCGACGAGAGCCGATCCGAGGAGGAGGACGCAGGCGAGGAGGAACGCGCGCTTTCTCGAAGAGTGGTGATGCTTGGCGCCGGATCTATTCATCGATTCGGATTCGGATTCGGATTCGGTATTCGGATCCGAAACCCTAGGCGGACGAAGAGGGGAAGGGTGGGAGTTAAATAGAGAGGGAAAAGGGACGAGGTAGATGGTGTGGGCGGGGGACGCTGGTGGTATTTTGGACGCGGATTCAGGTGGGTGCCGCTCGCGGTTTTTCGGATTTTGGGAAGCCGGCGCTGCTGCTTTTGAAAATGCGAGCTCGACGCTGAGGGACTCGAGCTTGAACGCCGGACTGTGACCGCTGATGTGGCTCGGTTT